GGAGGAGGGCACTTGTGGGGATGAGCACTGGGTGTTATATGGAAACCAATTTGACGATAAACTATTTGTAAAAAAAAAAAAAAAAAGAAAGGGAAAAAAAATAAAGTAAGCATTCTATATTCCGGCTATAGAAAAAAAAAAAAAAAAGAAGAAGTATAACTTTAAATACAATCGATTTAAAAAAATAATTTGTAAACGTACCTTATAATATAGGCAGTCATCCTTTTATAAATGTGAACTTCATTCTACCTTCACTTTTATTCATTCTACAATGTTGCCTTATAACCTCCTTTTGAAGAAGTTTTAGTAGCTGTCACATGGTGCACAGCCCTTGAGAGAAAAGGTCCAGTTTGAGGCCAAAGCTATGTGGAGAATGGCATCAGAAGCAATGCCTGGCTATGACCTTTGAAACCCCTCTTGCTCCCTTTCCCCTAACCCTCACAGTAAATGCTGTAGCTACTCTGAATCCATGTCAAGCATACTCCCAACCCATACTCCCTGGAGTCCAGGGTTACATCTGAGGTCCTGTGGTTTAATAGTATAAAGTGGACTGATGACTATATGGGTATCCCTTCACCCATCCCAGGCTTCCCCCACCTCACCCACACTATTCTACCATTCATTCTCCAAACTCTTCAACTCTACCTCTGATTCCTCCATTCACTGCCACAGGCTGAGTAACCTAGGTTGAAGTCAACTGCCCAGTGCCTTTTTGGACAGTGCTGCCATATGATGAGAGAATAACACTTTTCTCCAGTCCCTGCTTTAGATCCCCAGCACTGACAAAAAATTTTACAGATGATGGGTTCTTTTGACAACATCAGATAAAAAGGTGGCATTCAGTCATGGGCAATTGTTGATCCATTGGGCCAATCCGTGATAGTCACCTGCCTCAGAAATCATGTTCTGCCAAGTTCAAGACACTTAGGAATATTCTCACTACCCACTAGGCTATAGTTAGGGATCTTAGAATATTTTAGCTGTTAGAAACTGGAACCACCACTTTCCTCCTATTGTTGAACTTTCAAGCACTTGGCTATCTACTTGGCTTCATGATATGTGAATAATGAAGGTAGAAAAAGGTTCAAATCAGTATCAAAATTAAGAACCTCTGCTTAGAGAACCACAAGTAAACATTACAAGATTAAATGGTACCACGTCTTCTGTCCCTCATAAAGAACGTGGAATGTTGTCTTCTGAGGGCAATAACTTTCAACAATTTGATATAAAATTTTCCATTCACTTTGAAAAGATCTTGCTCAATGCCATCTAGGCTATACATAATCAGCATATGCTAAAATCATTTATCTTTATATACCAAGTGATGGACAAACTTATTTTGTTTAATTTTTTATAACTAGAACTCTTAATGGTATTTTCCATGTCACAAATGACTGGCTGGCCAAAACCAGTATTGTAATGGATTGATTGGTAAAGCTTTGGGGAGGGAAGACAGAATATTAAATGTTAATCAGGAAATGTGAAGCTTCTACCTTGTTAGAAAATCTAAATTTAATTCACATGAACTCTTGGCATACTGATAATACTGATATTAATACCAATACTAATGGTGATAAAAATCCCAACATATATCATCAATAATAACTATTACCACCATTTGTTGAAAGCCTGGTGTGTGCCAGTTATTGTATTAGGTACTTTTATCTATTAGTTCATTTACTCCTCACTATTATTATCCCCATACCTCACATAAGAAAACAAAGACTCAAAGAGTACGGCAAGCAATTAGTGGACTGGGCATTTTAACAAGGCCCACCAAACACAAAGCCCTTGTTCTTTCCACCACACAGCATGCAAAATGTCAAGATTTTTCCCAATATGGCACTATTTCAGAAATATGAATATAGGAAAATAGGGTATTTTTTTTTTTTACATTTCCAGGTAGGTTTTCCCTGAACTAATCAGACTTCCTAGATGGAGTATATTAAAAGCCCAAAAATAATTTGCAGTGGAGCATAGCCTGTTATTTTATGTTCTACAAAGCGAATACAAGGATGTAGAGTATATGTCTTCATTCATGGTAATAATTAGTAAACATATAGTCCATATATCCCCTCAATATCCTCCTACAATGTTCAGCCACTTTAAGAACGTTACTTGAAGAAAGAAAAGACTAGTAACTACAACAAAATAGAAATGAGGAAGATATGGCAGCAACATAGTTCAGGAATTATATCCTCAGGCATTTTGTAGATTGAATTTTTCCAGTGTTGGCAAATATATGCTTTCCTTCTTTTCCTTGTTATGGTAGACATTACTAATCATCACAACATTCTTTCCCACTGAGCCCAAATGCTGCCAAAGTATCCTTTTTAAGACCATATTTTGACAACCACTGCCAATGAACTGTACTTAGCATGTGATAAGAAATCCATTTCTGACCCTATATTATTTTCTTACAAAAATGGGCTTTCCTTGAGGTTCCCTAATCTATCACTCTGGCTGTAGGGATGATGTACTGGGTGTTTAGAATTATGGGAGATCTTTAAAGCAGTATTATTCCTGCTCTGTCTATTCCTCCTAATGTTAAACACATCTACAATATTGAAATTTTCATTCCTTCTTACTTTCCACAAGTTATCATCCTTATGAGAATTAAATAATCATATCAATTTAAAAATACCTGAAGACTTACTGAAAATAAAAGGCTGATGAAAAGTAATTCATCTTCCCAACAATAGAACACTGTAGAGTCAGATTGTTTGGAACCATGAGATATCACCCAAGCATAAAATAGACACAAAATATATTGCATGGCTCTATGCATTTGAGATTTAATAGCATTTTGAATAAAATCATACTTTAAAAATTTTTAAAGAATATCAAAGTTCTTTTATTAATTTAACTTGTGTTCAAGATTACTATTAGAGCTAATTGTAGAGAGAACAAAGTTTTTGCTTTTTTAAAAATATTTTTATGCTTATTTACCTTTGAGAGACAGAGAGAGAACAGAAGCAGGGGAGGGGCAGAGAGAGAAGGAGACACAGAATCTGATGCAGACTCCAGGGTCCAAGCTGTCAGCCCAGAGCCCAGGGCGGGGCTTGAACCCACGAACCATGAGATCATGACCTGAGCCAAAGTCAGATGTTTAACCGACTGAGCCACCCAGGCACCCCTCTTTTTCATCTGATTAAATAAATTCTTTCTTCAGAGTTTAGGTAGATAA